AGCTGCTGGGGTTGACCAAGGATATATTTCTTCAGCCACTAGGGGTGTTTGGGGTCCCAGTCCCTAAAAAAAAACTTGTGATTTTTCTGCCATGTGAGACATATATTCTAGGTAATTTTCCTATTAATTTTAGAGTCTTAGCCACCATCTGGAACTGTGTTTCCTTGACTATTTGGACGATATAGACCACTATAATGGCCTACATGAAGGCTACAACAGTCTGACTGTCCATCATAGATCAAAACAGTCCAAGTGGGAGGACTACAACTTGAGCAATGAACATTCCAGATCAGAAGTCTTCAAGTTGGAGGGCTTTGACTTGGTCAATGAACATCATAGCTCCATGACTATGTCTTGGGCAATGAACAAGATCAACCTTTCAATGGGAGGACTATGACTTGGGCAATGAACATTATAGATCTAAACCATATAAGTTGGAGGACTATCACATATTGGTTAACATGACAATATATCAAGAGATGTTTCCTCTATCTTGAATATTGAGTTTAAACTGAGTTTACTCAAGTTCAATAAGAGCCATCCAGGGCTTGTTGTTGCACACATGCAACCACAGTCACTGTGTCCACTGACATGTGATACAAGCTGCTGCTCAACCCATGTGATCCACACTGGGATGCAAGTTTTACGGTCACACTGTAAAGCTTGCAAAAACACTACATCATTTGATTTGGCTTGACTTTGATCACTCATGCATCTGTTTTTAGATTCCCTTCTGGCTGAAAAGTGAGATGAGAGTTCTCCTTTCTATAAAGCTCTTGTCTCTATAAGGCTCTTGTCTCAACAGCTCACTCTCTCTGCCAGGGAAGTCTTTACTAAGCATGAGAAGGGCTCTTGCAGTAACAACTCATGCTATCTACATAGTATTACTGTCATCTGTTTCATCACACACCCACCCACTTCCTTATATTATATACTATGTAGCACTCATATATTGCCATACCTCTTATGGAAACAGTTGGAATCAGGTGCACATGACACCTGATTTTTGATTTTGATTTTTTGCTACTTTCTCTCTATTCCTTCTCAGAGGTGGATGCAGTAATTATTACATAGAGGTAGATTCTAATGACTATAATGAAATAACAAAAGGTATAGTGGTATTGTGTTGAAGGAAGAGAGCAAATTTGAAGAGTTACAGTGATGAAGCAGGTTGTGTGGCAGACCAATGTCACCACCATAGTTGCCACCGGAATCACCCTGGAACTTCCAATTCACAAATGCACTGAAATTGCCTCTGTCCACAAGCCCACACAGGCATCATGGGTACTGTATAAAATTGTTGTCAACATATGGTGACTTGATATACATATTTGCAAAAATATATCCACAGTAAATTTCCACTTCCCATGAACTGTATGTGACTATCATCCTTGCATATAATCACAAAATATATCTAAATGACAGGATATATATACTTGAAAGATATTTCTGAAGTTATATATTCAAGTGACAGTACATATACACTTTACACATCTTCTTAATCCATATATCTGCAAAAATATATCCATATAGCAGGATATATACCCACATATATTCTTGGTAGATATATCTGAAGTCATACATACATCCAAGTGACAGTACAAACATACTTAGTAGATTTATCTCTAGAATTCAGAAGAGAAAGCTGCAGTTCATTCAACTTAATTACATAGATTTACATTACTACTTTAGAGAGTAAGTAAAGGGAAGGAAGGGGGAGGGAGTGAGGGGGTGGTGGTCAGTGAGGAAGTGGTGGGCAATGAAGGAAAAGGGATGGTAAGCAATCAGAAAGGGGGTGGTAGGCAATGAGGGGGAGGGGAAGGGATGAATGAGGGGGAGGGGAAAGGATGAATGAGGGGAAGGGAGTGGTAGGCAATGATAGAGGGGGGAGGGTGGTAGGCACTGAAGGAGAAGGGTGGTCGGCAGTGAGGTGGATAGAGGGGGAGGGGGAGGTGGGCAATGAGGGAGAGGGGGAGGGAGCGGTGGGCAGTAAAGGAGAGGGGGAGGCAGTGGTGGGCAGTAAAGGAGAGGGGGAGGGAGTGGTGGGATAAAGGAGAGGGGGAGGGAGTGGTGGGCAGTGAGGGAGTAGTGGGCAGTTAAGGAGGGGTATCGAGCCCTCGTCGCTGTGGGTGGTGGTGGTGGTGCTCACCGCGTCTTCGTCGTCGTCGTCTGTCGCTTGTAGGCCCTCCTCCTCCTCCTCCTCCTCGTCTGTACGCTCGCCGTCGCCGTCGTCGTCCATGCGTCATCTTCGTCGTCGTCCGTATGTCGTCTTCGTTGTCGTCTGTCTGTCGTCTTCATCATCGTCTTCTTTGTTGTCGTCCGTACGTTGTCTTCGTCATTGTCGTCTGTACGTCGTCTTCGTTGTTGTCGTCCGTACGTTGTCATTGTCGTCTGTACGTTGTCATTGTCATTGTCGTCCGTACGCCGTGGTCGTTGTTGTCCGTTGTCCGTTGTCCGTTGTCTGTATGCCATCGTCGTCGTCGTCGTCATCGTCGTCTGTCTTTCGCCCTCTGGTGTCCTCGTCACTGGGGACGTTTCGCGTCATGACGTGGCCATCAGCGGCATGCCCCTTCCTTTCGGAAGGAGTGGCATGGTGATGTGGGGGGTTTGTGATGTGTCAGTTACGTGGGTTGACATAGAGGTGGAGGGGCTTACCGTATCCATTACATACTGGCGACGACGACGACGATCATGTCGTCGTCG